TCCTGAAAAAAGCAAAGTTATTAGAAAGGAGCCTTAACAGCTCGGGACCTGAAGACTATAATTCTCTGTCACAAAAATCCAGTGCTGTAAGGAAAATTGTGAGTTCTGAAATTTCTGGTAATGGATCTGACTCCATTCAACTAGATGATACAAATACTAGTGCAACTAATAATGTTGCTTCCACGGTGGCACCAAAAAGCAGATTGATGATTCAAAGAGAGCTTTTGAGTTTGAAAAAGAAGGCTCTCACATTGAGAAGGGAAGGGAAAATGAATGAAGCAGAAGAAGAAATGCAGAAGGGGGCAGCTCTTGAACGTCAGCTGATGGAGATGGATAAGGCTTCTAATCTTAAAGCATCACAGAAAAATACTGCTGATAATGTTCCACATACAACACATAAGCATGCTGATTTCAGTAGAGATGTGCCACTTGAGGAAGGAAATGAAGATGATGTAACAGATCAAGATATGACTGATCCAACGTATATTTCACTCCTTAGTGACTTGGGTTGGACAGATGACAATAATGAACTTTCTAATTCTCCAAGCAAGCCTTTGAAGAAAGATGATAATCATGTTGTTCCAGTCAAGGATGCTTCTCTAAGTAGGCATTCTACAAATATCTTGGTTCAAGCTCCAAGAAGTAAAGTTGAAATTCAGAGGGAACTCTTGGGTTTAAAGAGAAAGGCCCTTGCTTTCAGGCGTGAAGGGAAAACTGAGGATGCAGAGGAAGTTCTTCAAATTGCCAAAGAATTAGAAGACCAGATGGCAGGGATGGAAGCTGCAAACGATAAAGCACAGGTTGAGGCTACTGTGATGAAAGGCGGACTTTTCAATCCTCCAGTTGATGAAGAAAGGGATGCGGTTGTTTCAGAAGAGGATATGCATGACCCTGTCCTGAATTCAATGCTTACTAATCTAGGGTGGAAGGATGATGAATCTGAACCTGTGACCATAAAAGAAGAACCAGTTAAGGAAGCTACTGGTAGGTCTAAAAATACTGTGGATCTATCTTCACTTGATTTCTCTTCAGGCACTCCTGCTACAGCTTTGAGAAGCAAGGTAGAGATTCAAAGAGAACTTCTAGTATTGAAAAGGAAGGCACTTGCTTTTAGGCGCAATGGAGAGATAGAAGAGGCTGAGGAAATTTTAAGGAAGGCCAAAAGTTTGGAAGCCCAAATAGAAGATTTTGGGACCCAGAGCAAGGACTTGTCACTCAAAGTTTCCAAGGATGAATCATCTGACTTCCAGGAAAGGCATGGAAGTTTGGAAGCTGCTTCTGCAGTTGATAATGCTTCAGCCTCATCCGTGGTTTGGTCAAGTAAGAATAGTTCCGAATCAACATTTGGTTTAGAAAGAATCAACGAGACAAATATTCCCATCTTAAGGAAGTCTGATAATTTAATTCCCGCAACCTCTCACTTTGCAGATGGTAAGCATTCATTATCTGCTGATGGTAGTACTTCAAGTGAAAATCTTTCAAAAAAGATGAAAGCAGAAAAAAGCATTGGTCGTAGCTCCTCATCTGACCACGCTATGGATATGCTAGATTTACCTACTGGTAATAGTTCTGAAATCTCGACTCAAAAACATAAAGAATATAAACTTGGTTTAGCTAATTCATCTCAAGCTGGTCCTGCTATTCATTTGGACTCTTCAGTGAATTTCCACCAAGATCAGGAATACATAAACAGTAATACAACTCAAAAAAGAGATGTGGCTGATGCAATTGAAAAGCCAAACATGAAAGAGTCAAATGCTGTTCAGGATTATGCTTCTCAGCGCCATCTTACCTTGCGTCAGGACATTTTGGCTCATAAAAGAAAAGCAGTTACTTTGAAAAGAGAAGGGAAACTAGCAGAAGCTAAGGAGGAACTCCGGCAGGCCAAGCTGTTGGAGAAGGGCTTGGAGGATGAAAGTATGCAGCCAGACACTGCCTCTGCGAGCAATGTTTCCCATGCATCAAATGTCGTACAAAAGAAACAAGAATCGTCAAATGTTAGTGCAAAACCATTGAGTAGCCGCGATCGATTCAAATTGCAACAGGAGTCTCTTGGGCACAAACGTCAAGCTCTAAAGCTACGGAGGGATGGCCGAATAGAGGAAGCCGAAGCCGAGTTTGAACGGGCAAAGGAAATTGAAACCCAGTTGGAGGAGTTGACAGCTCAAGATTCCAGCAAGTCAGATGGTGTAGATGATGTGAGTGTTGAGGACTTTCTTGATCCTCAACTCTTATCCGCTCTTAAAGCTGTTGGAATTGACAATGCAAGGGTTGTGTCAAAATCCCCAGAAAGGCAAGAGGCTGCAAAATCCAATGCTAAAGTTGAAAACTCCAACCAAGAGAGAATTCAGCTAGAAGAAAGAATCAAAGAAGAAAAAGTCAAAGCACTTAATTTGAAACGTTCTGGGAAACAAGCTGAAGCCTTAGATGCTCTTCGACGTGCCAAATTGTATGAAAAGAAGCTAAATTCATTAACATCTGATTGATGATGAAGTAAATACTGCAACTTCAAGGTGGTAAGTCCTCCCTTGTTCCAATTGGTAGTCACTTTTAGGAGGACTAGAAGGTGCACAGGAAGTTGCTCCTTTCATTACATGCATGTTTGCTTTATTATGTTCAAAAATATTGGAGAATATATACATGTTCGATCATTCGCAACTTACAATTTTCAAATGTGGTTCTAAATATGAAAAGATGTTGCATAACTATGATGTGTTTACATATGTTTTAAATTTTCAAACATCGTCATTCCCACGACACATTGCAAGCGTTTGCCACTGGCACCGTAAGAGTCTGTGATGTTTCAAATAACTGTTTAAGGTTTCTGGTGCTAATTAGCTGCAGATATAGAGCATGCAGTGCTTGATGCGCACAAAGTGGACTAGCTTCAAGTATTCTCCTTAAGTAAGTAAGCTTTAGCACGAATCCCGGAAATATGTTAATGGAATCTTTAGTTAAGTTATGAAGGGAAATAAAGGGAGGATAATTTTTTCATTTTTAATGAACGCTTATTTATTTGATATGTTTAAAATAAAAAATAAAAAGTTAAATTATATTTTTATTTTTTTTAACTTATTTCTTATATTCATTTTGGTCCTTTATTTGTTAAAATATTTATTTAGGTATTTTATATTTTATATTTAGATTGATTTGATCTTTTAAAATAATAATTATTTTATTTTTAATTGATTCAAGACGTGATATTTGTAAAATAAAATTTATTTATATAAAAATTATAAAATTGAATCGATGTTCAAATTTAAGAGTTATAAACATAATAAAAATTATGTGATATATATATATATATTATATAAGAGATTTATAATAACATTGGTGTAATTTTTATTAAATATTACATCGTTTAATAACTTTATTTTAAATGTGAATTTTATAAATTTAACCGTTTCATATATATAAAATTTTATATTAATTTAAGATACTTTGATACTTCATTTTTATAAAATAAAATTGATGTGATATATTCATTTTAAAATATATTAAAATATAAACACTTTGATTACTTTCAAGTTATTCAATTTTAACAAAATTTGATATAAACATATAAAGTGATATGAACTTTCAATTTAATAGTCGAGTTTACAAAATTTAAATTTAATATAAAATTATTGAACGGTGCAACACTTAATAAAAGTTACACTGGTATTATTATAACCTTCCTCATATATAATTGAATATTATGAGATCAATTTTAAATTTTAAATAAGTTAAAAAATAATTTAAAATAATTTAAAAAATAAAGATAATTATTATTTCAAAGAGATTAAATCGATTCAAAATTAAGAGATAAATGATTAAAATAAATACTATAAAATAAAAAAAGTAAATAAATTTTTAAAATAAGATAAAAGATAAAAATATAATTTTGTTAAAATATAACAATAACAATAAAAGACTTAATATGACTTTGATTAAAAAAAAAAGTCAACTAAAGCGATTAGGTTGAAATTAGATTAAATTAATATTTGAATAAATTAGAAATACTTACATACAGGTAATTATGTACGATTTAAGTTGTAAAGCTTCAAAGATGAAAAATTTAAATTAAATGGTACTTTATAGTGCATACTTTTAAATAACTTACATTAATATTTAAATATTGATATTTAAATAAATCATGTCAACAAGTTTATAATATCTTTATAATTTTTTTAAAAGTAAAAGTTTTTAAAAAATATTATATAATATTAAATGAATTTAACTTAAATGAACAAATTTCGTAAAATACATTGTTTGTTATTCAATTTGAGATTATAAATTTGTTGAGTTTGATAATGACTATTTTAAAAGTTATATTTGATAGATTTTCAAATTAATATTTGGTTAGAAAATCTTTACATTAACAAGATATGAAAATTGAAGTTATTAAATTAAGTAAACTTAAAATTAAAAGTGTTGGATTTGATGGACAACCTTGATTAATTTTGTATATAATATGAGTTGAGGTGTAAAAACTTAGACTTAACTCAGTCCCAAAATTGTGTGGTTATAACCTAATTTTTATTTAGTATTAATATTTGTATTTTGGGACCTTATTTATTTGAATTGTTTTCTTATATTATTAAGTTAGGTATTTTTAAAAAAAATAAAATATGAAAATGTAACTACAAAATAAATATTGATATATAATATACTATTGTAAGTATAGAGGTATACAAAATGAATTGGGTTCTAATAGTTCACAAATTAGGTTTGATTAATTTCTTAAATTTCATGTAAAAAAAGAATAAGATCAATTCGACTCAACTTGATGGATTTCTTAGGATTAATACCAAGAAACTTTATCCCAAAATTAGTATTATTACTTTACTTATAAAAATGTAAGAAGAATAAAAGTTTGGGTTAATTTGGCCTGATTTGATGGACCAACTTAAGCATACCAAATTATGGCCCATATGCAAATTTAGTTTAGCTTGATTAAATTTTCATGCCTTAACTCGTGGAATTGGGTAACCAATTGTATCTCTTTTGAATAAAAGTATGTGAAATATTAAAAACATTTATATATATAAGAATAACTATAATTGAATAGGAAAATATTTGGGGAGTTTTCTTTAGCAATAAATTTTTAGGGATTTTTCTTTAATCATAACTTTTTAAGAATTTTTTTAACTTCTTATATATATTTTTTCAATTAGATTTTAATTTTTTTAAAAATTAGTAGAAGTTAAAAATAGCTCCTATCATAATATGAATTATTTATTACAAATTTAAAATATAATTTATATATTAAAAGTATTTATTTCATATAATTTATATAATAAAAATATCTATTTTATATAAATTTCAATTATATGAAATTGTTCTAATATAAAATCTAGGATGTTCTTATCCGGAACATAGAAATGAGATTACAACAGAAACCTAATTATTTTTATCTAATCGTACCCTTTAAATAATAGTCTCATATTATCTTTTATTCCTTATATTTTGAATCTGTCTTTTATCTTTAACTTATATTATTAATATTCATTTATCATGGTGAGAATTATCATTTTTCTTTAATTCTCACATATCTTTTTGGTAGGGGCTATGAGATTAATTTTAGCTTGGCTCCAAGATGATTAGTATCAGGCCAATCATCCATTGGACATTTAATCTTGATTTGATCGATATTAAGTTAGGACAGTCCACAACTCTTTAGTCTCAATTACATAGGTGCGAAGAATTTTTTTTTAAAACAATAAAAATTGTTTTTAAACTCTCCCATAACATTTACTAGATGATGAGATGTTAGCTATTAAAATTATTTAATTTACTTTATTAAAATACTGTAAATTAACGTTTGGATATCATAGATGTTTGAAATTTTGAATTGTATGCAATGCACACTCTCTCATATTGATGGTGAAGAACCAAAGATTTTTATCTCCGTAAACCAACAAATTTGATTTGTAATCCATGGAGAATTGTCTTTGGTTAATAATTCCCCTCCTACAATAAGAATCTGTCTTGAAAGAAGTAAAGCAAAAGATCGACATTTGAAATATATTAGGAATCTAAAGAAATTTTATTATTTTAAATATATTTTTCAGTTCTGATAAATTTATTTTTAGTTTATCAAATTAAAAATTATTTTTTTAATCTTTATAATTTTTAAAAAATTTATTTAAGTCTTTGTACTCAATATTTTTTAAGAAGTTTGTTAGATATTATAATACAAAATTTATCTACTAATATTTTTAATAGTAATAACATAATATTAAACTCAACTAATATTACATCAATTTACCACTTTTAGATATATTATTTTTGATTGAGAGTAGAGAATCTGTCAAATATTATCACATAAAATCTTCTTATCAGTATTTTTGATAGAAAAATTATAATATTAAATTTAATTGATATTGTATAATTATTTCAATTTATCATTTTTAGATATGATATTGTGGAGAGACTAAAATAAAATTTTCAAAAATTATAAAAACAAAAAAACTAATTTTAAATTTAAAAGACTAAACATAAATTTTATCTTAAATTTTAAGAGATTAAAAATATATTTAAATCTTAAAAAAAAATTTATCAAATTTTTTATTTTTATCTTATTTCTTTTTATCAAATTGTCTATTATATTTACATTTTCATTTCTCTGTCTCACTTCTTTCTGTTGACACATACCCACTTCTTTTTTTTGGTACATATGCTCATTTTTCAACATAATTTGCCGTCAAAATCATACCAGCAACAGTACCATTACGATTGAACAATAATTGGCACGATTATTTAGTTTAGTGAAGCATGGAAGTCCACAGTCCAGGTCTTGTTGCTATCCCTGTTTAGTGAAATTTCCAATTAGAAATTACGTCACATTTCTATCACTTTTCTCATTCCGACAATAGTACAATCACACTAGGTATGTAGTGCATGTTTACCAACCAAAATATTTGGCGGTATCCACCCACGAACTTACTTTGAAGTTAAGGATATTAAATTGTTAATTTCTTTTTCCCAACATTGGTTGAACTCGAAGAATTCAATGATCTAAATTTAACTAATTAAATTAGTTTGATTTTTTTAATTTAAGTTATATTCAAGTTAAACTAATTGAAATTTTGATTAATTGGATTTTTTTTGTGGTAAAATTAATTGGTTTAGATATTGTATTTACACTTTTAAAATTAAATCAACTTAAATTAAATTAATTATTTATGTATTATGATTTTTTATTAGTTAATATAGTAATTTTGTGTAATTGGACTATTAGGTTATGTTGATGGATATGACTTATGATAGCTTCTATTCCACATATATTAAAAAATATAATAAAGAAACATTTTAATAAAAAACTGATCGAGTTCATATATGAAAATTCACTAAGTAATGTTAAGTTTGGAAGCAAATATATATATCAAAACATTATAATTAAACATGTCGTTACTCCAATAATAATAACCTTTACTAAAAATATTACAAAATAAATATCATGTCTTAAAACACGATTAAACAACATGAATAACAAATCTTAACTACGTTTCAATATCACATCTTATTAGAATATAACTACATAAGGTCTAAGTTTCATCATTAACATTATCAACATCTTGATGAACTTCACTTGCAACAATATACATACCAAGGACAACACAAAAAACATGGAGTGAGAAACATTTCAGTCTATCTCACAGCATAAAATAAGATCGAATAGCCAAACACAATAACAAAGTACCATCAACATATATACAATTAAATAAAAACAAGGTACAACTAAGTCAATCACGATTCATTGCATCACTTATCACAC